TATTACTATCTTAAGTCGCTGGGGTATATTTGCAGCAATAACCAACAATACATTGTATGGGTCAAAATTATCGATTTTTCTTTTATGTCAGAAATCATTAGGATATTAAGTAAAGATCATGTTCCATGAAAATATTTTGTACATTTCCTACCATAAATGTATCAAAACTTAATTTTTGATTAGTAATATGCATTGCTAAGAACTTCATTTAGACAACTTTAAAGATGATTTTCTCAATATTTAGATTTTTTTGCACCCTCAGATTCCAGATTTTCAAATAGTTGTATCTCGGCCAAATATTGTCCTATCCTAACAAACTATACATCAATGGAAAGCTTATTTATTCAGCGTTCAGATGATGCATAAATCTCAATTTGGATAAATTGACCCTTATGACTGGTTTTGTGGTCCAGGGTCACATATATAAATAACAGTAAAGTAACTCTGCTGGAGGGTTATAAATGTGACTGAGACCTTTGGGGTTCCACGCGCACATGATGATCCTCCGGTCTTCTGGGTTTGACGTGATGCAGTCAATCACTTTCTGTAACTGGTCAACACCTTGCCCAGAGTAATCTTCATGGAGAGATGAAATCATAGCCAAGCTCACACACAACGTCTTACCATACACACATTAAAAGAGAAGCATTTGAAACGGCTTTCAAATTTAACAAATATCCCAAGGAGTTTCTCCGTTAACGAGATCTTAACACTAGAACCGCCACGGGGTAAAACTGACCCATGGCTGCTTTTCAAAAGTACGTAACAGATTTTCAATTAAATATCCAAGTCTCTCAGTCATTGACTAAAACGGTGTTATTTACAATCAATCCCGTTGTTAAAAAATGTTTCGATAAAACACTTTAACCACCAGGGATCTTCGTATACCTAGCTACGGTTTTGATACGGCTAAAAAACTAATTATGTCACTGTATCATCTTCACAAAGTCATAAAATCATTATTTTAGTCATCAGCTATGTTTTTTGTCCTGCTGTTTTATGTTCAGTAGACAATAAATGAGCAATAATAATTCACTGCACTGTACAGGATGATGCAATGACAATTTCAAGCCTCGCCTAATTAATTATTAATTTGTTTAGTTATATAATTTATAATTTGAATAAGAGAACAACACCGATAAGCTTGGGGTAATCATAAAAAACTGTTTTATTCATTACAATTGTTTTTTTTTCAGGAAACGGGCAGACTAGTATAAATAGCAACACAGTTGCGAACAATAAATTAACAAAAATTAATAATTAATCGAAAGTTTGAACATTTATGAGTAGGCTAAAATAAACTTTGGATTAATTATTAATTTTTGCTGTGCAATTTTGATCTATTATTGTCCGCTACTGTGTTGCTTTTTATTCGTCTGCCCATTTCCTGAAAAAATAAATTAAATAAATTCAGACATGGGTCTTACTTAATATGTGATTAATGGCATTTTATTATAATATTACACCACCAAAACATGTATTTATTTCCTTCTAATTCCCGTTGTCATTGCAAGCTGGTTTAGCTTATATTCACCGTTAAGAAAAGTGATTAGTGTAACCTGCTTAATACGACATAATACGTTTTTTAGCCCTATCAAAACAGTAGTCATGTGCATGGGTTAATTGTATGTATACAAGGACCACTAGCGGTTCTAGTTAAAGACTCCATGCATAATATCAGAGTCAGTCTCCTATGTATCCTACAGTAAAGCACAGCACTGCTATGATATGTCATGTCAACTGGCTGTATAGAAAGAAGCACAGTTACCAGTGTGCATGTCTTTGTACTCCGCTCCAAAGTGCCTCCACTGAAAGCCATACACGGGACCCAGATCTCCTTCCTCGCGATCGCTGAAGCCGTTCTTATCCAGAAACTCCCTGGAGCCGTTAGCATCCCAGATTCTCACACCCTTCTCCGACAGCTCTTTGGCATTGGTTGAACCCTAAACTCAATAGCAAATGCAACTAATGCAATACAAAATGCAAAATGAATATATAACAGAAATAAAACAAATAGTACGGGATGTTTTCCTACCTTGATAAACCACAGCAGCTCCTCCAAAATGCCTTTCCAGAAAACCCTTTTGGTCGTCAGCAAAGGAAACTGATCTGTGAAAGCATTTGTAATTCTAGTTTAGTGCCACTTCAACATTCAGAGGTAGTTGACTTTTAACTTCACACCGTTGCTTCCGGGGGAAAATACGAGTCCTCTTTCCAAAACACTGCTTTGGTTTGAATCAGGAGAGACATCTGCACTGATTTACAAGCCACAACAGCTCTAAACAAATATGTGGGTGGATTTTAATGCGAGAGGACAACAGTGGATGGACTGTCTCACTGGAGAAAGCGTTATTATGAATTATGGACTCATATTTTAGCCGGATTTGTTTCAGCTTTTGTCTTCTCAAGATGTTAACTGGTGGACTGGAGTGGTGTGGATTATTGTGATGCTTTTATCAGCTGTTTGGACTCTCGTTCTGACGGCACCCATTCACCGCAATGCAAAATTGATCCAAATCTGATGAAGAACAAACTCATCTACATCTCAGCTGGCCTGGAGGTGAGCACATCTGCAGCAATTTTAGGTGTACTATACCTTTAAAACAGACTTAAAGGGATAGCTCACCCAAAAATGAAAATTCCGTCAGCATTTACTCACCCTCGTGTCGTTCCAAACCTGTACGAGTTGCTTTCTCATGCTGAACACAAAAGAAGATATGTTGAAGATTGCTGGTAATCAAACAGTTGGTGGTTGCCATTGACTTCCATAGTATTTTTTTCCTACTATGGAAGTCAATGGCAACCACCAGCTGTTTGATTCAAGTAAATGATGATTTTTGGGTGAACTATCCCTTTAAATCACATGCAAATTATGCTTTTCTCAAGACTTTTCGCTTGTGCATGCCACCAAGCAACCACGTCTTGACTTTTTTTTTTTTTCTGGTTTGCCCAAATACATTTTCCTTATAATCGGCTTTGATCAAATTCAGTGCATGAGCTGTTTTGACTGACCTCTGAGGCTGTACCTCGCCTGCGTCCCGAACACAGAGATCACCCCCGTCCCGGTTCGGTCTCCTTTCCGGACTCCGTCCTGCAGAATGAACTCGACCAGGTCCAAATAACCGCGTTCATCACAGAACTGAGAAAAGTGTTTTTTGTTTTCTCTCTTGTTTTCTGCGTCCGCGCAATGGCCATTAGTCAGTTCCACTGCGGCGCTGGACATTTTCTTCTGCTTTAGGTTCAACTCAAATTCAAACACAACCCCACATGTATTCCCGCGAAACTGTTCGTCTTGTTCTCCTTTTTTTGTTTTTTGGCGGGTTACAGAAAGTCCGTCGTTAAAGCTGCATACCGCCACCTACGATATTGGAGTGTGTAAAAGCATTTCTTCATTGATCTCTACATATATTTTCCTAATAAGATATAAAAATTTAACTAATGCCCTTATAATTGATTGTTTCCTGATTTTAGTAGCATCCCATTTCCTTCTAGTTTTGATAATACACTCTAAACTTCCTCAGTACATGCTTTGCATTTTCTTTATATGCATTTGACTTATTCATTAGAAATAATTGTTTAGACTTGTGTCCTAATAACCTAGTCTGTGCATACATTTTCTTCTCTTCTTTTCTACTTCTAAATGTTTTGTCTTTAATTGG